AGACCATTTTTAAAACCAAAACTGAACTAAAAAACATTAATAGACCTGTTTTATTAGACTGAGATAGACTGCACTAAATTGATCTATTATTAAACTTAGAAATAAATTAGTTTTGAAAAGACTAAATAAGAATCAGTTTTTTTAACTAATTTAATTATTAACTGGTTTATGGTCTTGAGACTAGTTTAAATCAGTTCTTATGAATAATTAAAATAGCTAATTAAAAATATAATATATAATCTTTTATTTTTAATTGCTGTTGTCATATGACTTAATTTTCTTTGCTAGTTAATAAGATATTTAGAGGTTTAAATAATTAAGAACCATTATTAGAACTAAGACTGAACTAAAACATTAATAGACTAGTCTTCTTAGAACTAGATGAACTGGATCAGATTTGTTTATTCCTAAATAATTTTGAATAATTATTGTTTCTTTTAAGTTTATAAGTAGTTTTCTTATTTTATTAATACTCTAATATCTATGATTCTTTTTTTTTAGACATACTACAGCAAATTCAAATCTACTAATCCAATTATAAAGGTTCTTCACGATTATTACATGATTATGTATTATAGATAAATTTGAATAATTATTTTTTATTTCAAGTTTATAGGTAGTTTTTTTTATTTTATTAATACTCTAATATCTATGATTCCTTTTTTTTAGGTATACTACAGCATATTCAAATCTACTAATTTAATCATGAAGATTCTTCATAATTATTACATAATTATATATTAAGGATAATTTTGAATAATCATTTCTTATTTTAAGTTTATAGATAGTTTTCTTATTTTATTAATACTCTAATATCTATAATTTTTATTTAGATATACTATAGCAGATTCAAATCTACTAATCTAATCATGAAGATTCTTCATGATCATTACATGATTATATGTTATAAATAAATTTGAATAATTATTTTTTATTTCAAGTTTATAGGTAGTTTTCTTATTTTATTAATATTCTAATATCTATGATTCTTTTTTTTTAGGTATACTATAGCAGATTCAAATCTAATTATAAAGATTCTTCATGATTGTTATATAATTATATATTATAAGTAATATTAGATATGAATTAGTTTTGAAAAGACTAAATAGAAACCAGTCTTTTAAACCAGTCTTATTATTAATTAGTCTGAACCAGTTTTCATAAATAGTTAAAATAACTAATTAAAAATATAATATATAATCTTTTATTTTCAACTGCTAATGTCACATGATTTGAGATCTTCTATATAACATGAAACATAAACATTTTTAATTTTTCAAGTCTAAGTCAGAAATCACAAAATACAATATTTTTTCACTATGATTATATAAACACATTTATCAGATAATAGATCTGATAATATATCTAGTATAAATCAAGAGAGCAGGTAATATGCTACAAGGTGAAATTGTAGGTCATATGGGTGATATCACAAATATTCAAAATATGCAATATACAATATTGATATGTGTAGAGTTAAAATTATAACGATAGCAAATACTGATTTGTTATTACAGTTGGCACTACTTACATGACCCATAAAATCTATGACTGCCTTGGTTATATCTAATCCAATACAAAATATAAATGTGACTGTATCGTGATTTATATTGCTGCAATTTTGAATAATCTGTAAAATACGATAGATAAAAATGTGATATTAAAGTAAAAATGTGACTTCAAACATATACAGTATGTTACAAAAATAACTAGAAAATTTTTATAAAATTTAAATTTGCATAATCTAAATTTTTTAGTTTAGATTTTTAATTACTAATTCTTATATAAAATTTGAAGACAAAAGATATATAATGAATTTTAAATAATTTTTATTTAATATTATATAATTAAATATTTGTTGAGTATTTGTTAAACTTAGTGTAACTAGTGTGGCTAGTGTGGCTAATATGACTAATATGGCTAAAATAGCTAATATTTAATATAATTAATATAGCTAATATAACTAATATAACTAAGATAATTAATATGAATAGTATAGTTAATAAATACATATTAAAGAATTTATATTAAAAAATTTTAATATATTAGAATATTATATAAATAAAAAATAAAATAAATATTTTAAACTAATTTTAGTTAGTTTAGTTAAAAAAAAAATAATTAATATTAGTTTTTAATTTAAAAAAATAGTAAGCATATACTATATTTATTTTGTTAATTTTTTTAATAAATAAATATCTAGTTATATATTATAAATAAATCTTAGTAACCATAACCCATAGTAATAATTACCATAGATATGTTATACAATATATTTGTTATATTAATATATTTGTTATATTAATATATTTGTTATATTAATATATTTGTTATAATATATATTATATATAAATTATTAATAGGTTATACATATTATACAGAAATTATTAGTAGTTAATGCCAGTAATACAAACTTTAAATTTTGACTATTCTGAACTAATACAATGTTGCAATAGAATTCAAAAAACAGAAAAGCGAAAATACTCAAAGGCTAATATTTAACCCAGCAGATCTCCTTTAATATAGGTAAGCATATATAAATTATTACAAAATTATAATATATAAAACCCATCTAATTTAGGCCAATTTATATTATAACTCTAATCCTGACCCTAACTATTTGTAAATTTACTTAAATTGATTCAAAATAGTTAATTTATATATATTATAATTAAATAATAAACATATTTGCCCATCTATACTAAAGATCAACCTACTAATATATAATTATATAAGCACATATGCTATATACTGTTCACTTTGCTTGCAGCTAAGCAGTTTATCTGCAGTGCTTTTTTACTAAAAAATCTTAGCTTTTGATAACTCTATCAAATAATAATGTTTATCATACGAATAATATTTATAAGTATATTTAAAACTTAAAACATATAAGACATCCACTATAAATACTATTGTACAGTACTATAACTCTTGTATATGGTTCACTTATATCATATATTTTATTTACCCTTATTAATTAACTATCTAGTTAAATTGCATATTAATATACTTCACTCTCTCAACAGTTTTTTTAAAAATAAACAATTGAATATATTATTTTGAAGCACTATCAAATGAGAAATAGGTTCTTACAATTAGTATCCAGTTAGTGAAAAAACTTACAAAAAAAATAAATACTATAAAAAAAAACAAAAATGTATTATTTTATTGATACTTATCTAATGTTGAGTAGTATAATGTACTTTAAATGCTCTTTATATTTGGAGTGTATTATTATTATAATACTAAAAACAAAACTTTTTTTATAGCTAGAATCAAATTTATAACTATAAAAGTTATGATTTTAATATTTTATTGCTTATTCTAAAAATAAATTCAATTTAAAAATTGCTATGTAGTTTAAAATTATATATACTGTATCATTAACTGCAAATGTGTTAAGAATTTTACTTGCTGTTAATATTGATATGTACTATACGTAACATTATTCTTATTATATATTTCATTATGAAGAATGTACTATGATCTTATCTTGCTATTTATATATGCATGCATTATGACCCATCTTATCACATATATTGCATACATATCTTTTTTTATTTTTTTGGTATAATTCTTCAGTATTGTTGTCTAAAACATTATTACTATCTGAATTAATATTTGAGAAAGGTATTCTAAAATTAGAATCTTGAGGATCAATCATATGATTATATGCCAGCCCTCTGTAGTTTAGATTTTAAAAGATTCTTTTAATTGTTTAGTTGATGGACATCCATGATGCTTTGTAACTAAAGGATCCACTATGACTTTTTGTTTATGTTAAGAACTTTTATTGTTAAGATTTTTATGTGTAGATTTTTCTGATCAATAAACTGAGTAACCATATTCATTAATTCTTTTACTCATCCAAGATTCAGTACAAGATTAAGTGCCTTTTTCAATTTTCCAAATCTGTTAGCATATATGACTTTTTTGCTAACCAATTGCTTATGTTTTGCATCATACAAATTAGCATCTCGAATTTGTTCTATGATATAAAAATCTGAAACAATTATATCTGAAGCATTTTACTGAAATATAGTTGAAATTTTAATGCATTGCTGCTATAAAACCTTCAATTCTTTGTCTTGGTAATCATCTTGGTACCAATATCTTGGAACCAATTTAATATGAAACTTTGCCATTTTGGTATTTATCATTATTTGAAAAAAATAGGTGCATATAATGCCATGGTTAATAATAGATATGCAAGTGCATAGATGTCTACTATCACTTAACAAGATTACATAGTACTTGTAAACTGCTAATAAATTCATAAGTTCTTAGATTTTCATAACATCATTTATGTCAATATTCTTTATAAGAGACATATTAGAAATTTGAGGTCTATTGATTTGATCCTTCAGAAAATCCTCATCATAATCTAACAAAATGTTTTTCTAAAAAAAAAAAGAAAGCCAAATTTAAAGTTAAAAATACAATCAATCAAAAATGTATAATAAATAATAAACTGATTATTTAATCTAATCTGTAGTTCCTGAATGTTATTCTTTAATTATAGTTTCACCTGATACATAAGAGACCTAATAATTTGCCATTGTTAAATAGCTAATATATAGGATATTAAATATATTTTCAATATTTCCAAAACCTTTAGAAATATTAACTTAGCAATTATTAGTGCTTGATTGATAGGAAGAGAATTTAAATAGTTATTATGTTTTGATCATTTAGCCTTATTATCTAATAAATTTTGTATATGTTCATAAAGGTTGTGCAATGAAGTAGTACTTTTTACATCTTTTTTAATCAGTCTGTTCATTACCTCAACATGTTGGATACTCTGAACTTCTGCAATAAAATGCTTTAACTAATAATATCAGGCCAATGATTTAACACATCCTTGTAATGCTCGATTAAAATAATCATTTGTTTGAGAATATTTGTTTAATAAAATGTAACTACTATCTATGAAAATCTTCTTCAAACATACTATTTCATGCATGTAAAAATCTTTGTAAAAATCATTAAATTGTTTCTCAAATTTGCTTCATAAATTTTTGTGAATGTTTTTCTGAATATAAAAAATATAGAAAGTGATATGTAGTAGGTAGTTTTAAAGAAATGGCACTACTTAGTGTGAGTTTAACATCTGAAAATAAAACTGCTAGAGATGTATTATATGCTGCATTTTTGACACATTCAAAAAACCATTTATATGCTTCAGTAGTTTTATCATCAGAAAATGCTTGACATATTAGCTGAGTCTTTGTATTATTGTTAATTACTATTAAAAGTGTAAGGTATATATCAAACCAATTTGTTTTACATGTATTGTCAGTTTGAACAATATCAATATAATGAATCAGACATTGTTGCTGCATTAAAGACATTTAAAAAATTTCCACCAGCCTGTTATCATATGGATCTATTCTAATATTAACAATCCAATCTGAATCTTGGCTTTTTAACTGTAACAAATAATTTATAAAATGCTGGGGGAAATAGGTTTAAAAAATAAGCATATACTTATTATTAAAATCATAAAAATACCCATTGTTAAAATTTTGTTAAAATTATTATCTGTACTTCTTCATAACATTGACTAGATGCTTTTCGAACCTTTTTAACTGCATTATAAAGATCAGTTTTATAAATCATATGATCAGAAAATTTTGCTATCAAAAGTGATAAGATTTGTTTAGATCTCATATTCTTTTTTGTAATATAATATTCTATTAAGTCTAAAATTTCTAAAGACAACTTTTTATATCTTGAAGCATATAAAGATACATCTAGTTGCATTTGATGATTATGCTTTGCCTCTATGCTTGTAATAGCAACAACCTTAGAAGACTTTGGTTTTGATAAATTTACATGCCAAGAACATAAATTTTACTTAAGTTTCAATTGTGTTGTTGAGAAAGATCAATAATCTTATTGCTAATAGCTTTACTAGCATGTGTACATTTAAAGGTACATCATCTAACTTTACCATTTCTATAAACTGCTACTCTCTTTTGATATAATGAAAAACTTGTGGCTTTAGTATAATGATAAAGCATGCTTTAGCTTTATTTTACAACATATAGAAATCATCTACAAAAAGTTGATTCTGTTCATTGTTTGGCTCAATTTCTAAAAATTGAAGATTCTGTTTATTGTTTGACTCAATTTCTGAAGATTGAAAATCTTGTTCATCATTTGGCTTAATTTCTAAAAGTTGAAGATCATGTTTATTATTTGGCTTAATTAAAAATAATTCTGTATAAAAAGGTATTAATTCCAAGTCTAAGCTATTTGTAGTTTCAATATTAACCGAAGAACTATTTGTAGATTCAAGAGAACTTGTATCTAAATGTTTTAAAAAAAAAAATTATAAATAGTAAATTTAACTTTTTACATAGCATTTTTTAAACAATAACAATACTACCTACTTTTTATAATTTTTATAACTAAGCTAGAAATGAAAGAATAACAGCAATGAAAAAAGCATAACAAGGAAGCAATAAAAAAAGCACAAATAAGCAAGCAATAAACTACAATAAATAAGCAAGAAAAAAGTAAAAGCAAACAATAATAAGCAAGTAAACAAAGAAGTACAAGCAAGCAATGAAAGCAAACAACAAGCAAACAAGAAAGCAAGGCAAGCAAACAGAAAAAAAAAAGATATATAATTAAGAATATAGGCAAATACAATAATGAAAAGAAATATAGCAGTAAAAGATAAATATGATCAAAGTAAAATAATATTGTTCATATGAAAAAATAACTTTATATGATGTGCTACTAAAAATGAAGTAAGCATGATGAAGAAAAAAAAGCTGTGTGAAAGACAAAAAAGAATACAGCAGTAAAAGATGAACATGATCATAGTAAATCAGTATAAGTAATATGAAAAAATAATTTTAATATGATGCACTGTTAAAACAAGAGTGCACAGTGAAGAAAAAAAAGCTATAAAAGAAAATTATATAAATAGAAATAGTATTAATAATATGATACTAAAATAAGGAAAAAAATTCTGTAATCGATCAATCGATCGATCTGATTGTGTATAACTGATATGTAACTATAAATTATATAGGATGGTGATTATTACCACTGGTTATTTTAACTTAAATTTATTATAAATTGTATAAATTTTATTTAATTCTAAAAATACTGCTGTGCTACAGTTATATAATTTCTAATTCTGAATATTTTTGCAATATACTATATATAATAACTTTTAAAATAAATTATTAAATTTATTAAAAATTATTTATTAAAAACAATTTATTAAATACATTTAATTTTTTACAATATCAATATTATATATATTAAAAATTAAATTTTCTTAAATAAAACAAGACAATGCTTTCTACATAACACTTATACTAAATTATTACTAAAAATATTTAACTATTTCTAAGCATTTTACTAAATAAACCTTATTTACATTCTTAAATAAAATTGTTTAGCATATTTTTTTATTCTTGGCTAGTCAATTTTAAAGTTTTAATAACATCTAATCATTAAAAAAAGTTACAAAAATTAATTTTTTAGTTTTTGCTTAAAATTTTACTAATTAAATATATTTTGTTTGCTATTAGTTTTTTTTTTTTTTTTAAGTTAAAGTTCCTGTCTTTAAGGATTAATATATTTATTTAATTATTTAAATATGAATGCCTTTAGGAGTTTCTATATATAGGAGGTTACACATTAATAACCAAATCTATAACCAAATATGAAAACCTTACTGCATTAATTTTTCTAACTGAAAAAAAAATAATAACATTACATCTCTTCTAAACTCTAATAATAACCATACCCTTTAACAAATATAGCAAACTAGACATCACAAGAGATTATATATAAACTATAATACTTATGTCTATGTGAAATAGCAGATTAATTACATCCACATTCTAATATCTGTTCATCAATTGGACAAGCTATTAGGAAAATTAACATATAGTCAACACTCTGGATTAACTATAATATATCTTATAACCATATTTTAATATTACAAATCTAGATGGGCCTTAACTACTATAGTCAGTTTAGATCACAGATAAAACTGTCTGAGCTTTAATTCTTGTATGTAGTTTTTATTTTGTAATTTACAATCTTAGTATATCTTAGTATATAGTATATTAATATGTACAACTAAAATTATGAATAAAGATATAAGCAAGGCCTTACTTTAATACCAAAAAATATATATATATATAAGAGGTTATAACTAGCTAATATGTACTTTTAGTATCTAATTTAAATAGTCTGCTTATATATTACTATATAAGTTCTGTACTAGATGTTATATTTGCAAGCCAACTACAGATTTTGCCTATTTAAACCTTTTGCATATATAGTCTGACTTGTAATTATGAAAACATCTTCTGAGTTACACTTCTCTAAAATAACTAATACTTTCAAGATCCTTAGAACTATTTATTCTTAACAGAAAATTTACTAAAATCTTCTGTATCTTATATATAGCTAATCTAGTTTTATACAATATATTATAGTTATTTAACATTTGTAGTTACAGAGATTATCTGTTTAACTGCTACATTACACTATTTCTACTTTTGTAAAATTTACTAGAACTCTATTATCTATCAAGTGATGTCTTTTTTATCATCTCTTACTAACTGTTACTCAGAACTGACAGGACTCTTCTGACTTCCAATTCAAATAATCCAGTATGGTATATATATGTATTCTTTTTCTTTAGTAATTTTGGCAGCCTAATTAGTTATATACTCCTTTATATATCTTGTCATCTGGTTTATTTATTTATCTTTTTAAAGATGTTTTATGAACTTCTATCAGTTTGACTGTATTATTGAAAGTTTTTGTTATTTTTTTACTCAGAAATTTTCAAGTAGGCTTCTGACTTCTTGGTTTTTTAGTTTACTGCATTTGGTGGTCTTATCATAAGTTTGCACTGGGGTCTTATATGATACTAGTTATTAACATTTCTCTATATATATGTAATATTATATTTTATATAAATATCTTAAGCTTTTATTCAAAATGGTGTAACTTAAAATTACAAATACACCAATCTAACTAATCATCAAGAAACAGTTTGCTATAATATAGGTTAATTTTCAAATTTTGTACTAGGTAAGATTTGAGTCTTAGATTTGTCACTTAGAAGATAACAACTTAACTACTATACTAGAATTACTATTCTTCTATTAGTTATTTCTTAAGCTTATTAAGATGAACATTTTAATATATATTTTATCTTAAATAGACAAAAACTTATCAAATTAACAACAAAAAGCCAAAACTTAAAACTTGTTTTTGCAGATTTTTTTAAAAACAATTTTAAAAAAATTTGCAAAAATGTTTTAAAAAATTCATATTCTGATATTTATTAAAATTTTCTAACTGATCAATAATTTTTTTTTATAATTTTACATTTTTCAGATCTTTTTTAAACAAGTTAGAAAACATAAAATAAAAAAAAATTTTTAAAAAACCTAGTTTTAATAATTTTTATATATTTAAATTTAAGCATTATTACAGACTATATAAAGTTATACAAGTTACAATAATATAATAACTTTAGTAATATATTCAAAAAACATATATTATTTTTGTAATATTATTTTTCTATTTTTTTTAAAAAGAAGATATTACAACATATTTACTCTTATTATATCTAAACTAGACTTTATCAATCTTGATTATTTTTATAAAAACTTTTTAAAAAGTTTTGATATTGAAATTTATAAAGAAACTTTACTAATCTTTTACATAATTTTTATTGGTAAGCAACTAAATAACTGCTTTAATATTAAACTTAGAAGAAATATTAAATGCTATTACTACATTAAAGCACCTATAATTAGTAGTATTATTACTTATATTTGTAATAAATTTTATATTAATTTTCTTTATAAAAAAACCTAATATATAAACAAAATTAATTTGGTCAACCTACTAAAAAATCAAAAGTTAAAAAATAAATTACAACAAATCTTGCTGATTTTACTGAATTTATTCTACATATTCAACTTTATTATTTTCATCATCTATATACTAATATATTTGCATTACTTGTAACCAACCTATTATCTACAAATTAATTAATAATTAGCATTATTTAGCAGTTAATGCTATACTCTTTAATAACAAATCCTATTACAAATCTTGTATTAAAAACTAATTTAACTCTTAACAAGGTTCTTTTAAAAGCTTTAAATATATTTTTTCTGCTAAAAATACACAACAAAACTTTTTTAAAAAAAGCATACTATTTGCTAATAAACTTTAACAAACACTTACTAAACATCAATAATCTAATCTATTTACTTCTTAACTTAATTTCTTAATATTATTAGATAATAACTAAAACAATGATAATATAAATATTAATATTAATAATATTATATTTACAAACAACAAACAATAACAACAATAACAACAACAATAACAACAACAAAAATAATAATAATAAAAATAACAACAATAATTTTAACAAAGTTAATTACTATTTTCTAATACTTAAACTAAAATAAACCCAATATTTGACTAGTTAATTAATTTTTTAGTTTCAACTAAAATAGAAAATAATATAAACTGTAAACTCAACTTTCTTATAAATTATTTAATTTTCTCAAACAGCATCTTTTTAACTTTTATTTAGAAAAATAAATCAAGCTAGCTACTAAAAACAAAAAAGCTCTTACTGCTTGTTTTTATTATATTATTTGCCAAGTGGCTAGAATAAAATCTAAATTTCTTTTAGATATTATCTTTAAAACTAATTCAAATATTAATTATGAAACTATAATTTTTTTAATATTTTGAAAAGAAGTTTTAAAAAACTTATTTCAAATTTACTACTATTCTATTCATTAAACTTAACTATTCTAAAATATTTACATCTTCTGCTACTATTTCTTTATATAGAACTCAAAATCAATTACAATTTTGTATTAATTTTGTTAGACTGTATCTTTACTTATTCAACAATTACCAATCTATTAGCTATATCAAATTTGCTAATAATATTAAACTTAGATCTAAAAAATTTATTGTTAGCTTATCTATAACAATAACTAACAAAGAAAAGCAATATCTAAATATTAAACTAAACAACTAATTTAATATTCACCTTTTTTTTAATATTCTTAAAACTCTTTTTCTTAAAAAGTACAATATTTTATTATTTAATAATTTTATAGATTACTTTAATAAATAGTTTACAAAATTTTTTTTCTTAATAATTGCTAATTTACTAAACCTATCAATAAAACTAAAATCAAAAATGCATTAAGATTTCAATTCTGACAACAATTCATTAAATATCTTAAAAAATTTCTTTCAATTAAAATTTCTTTTATTAAACT